CTTCTGACCCTGCAGCACAGGCTTCTGCGGTTTAGCCCACAGCACCACCACATCCCTTAATCACACCTTCACCGGCACTATAAACTGGCACTCTATACCAGTGGTTCTTAACCTTTGGTTACTCAGGTGTTTTTTAACTGCAACTCCCAGAAACCCTAGCCAGCACAGCTGGTGGTGAAGGCTTCTGGGAGTTGCAGTCCAAAAACACCTGAGTAACCCAAGGTTAAGAACCACTGCTCTATACTTCCCTATATATAACTGGATTTTCCATCCCAATCTAGTAATTCTTAAAGAGGTATCACTGCACCATTTGCACCAACACAGTACATTTTATTCAGCCAAGATTTGGTGAGAGTCAGGTCTATGCACCCTGACAGTACAGCTCATATTAATGGCTATCAAGTGCTTCAAGTGCTTAAATTGAGGATAAGCCCTCCCCCCTTGAAAAACATACCAGCAGCCATTTTAAAAACTTCTGAAATTTGGATACACCGATCATCTGTGCAAAATGTCAAATTAAGCCTACTATAGCATTTTAAGAATCAATTCAGCTAAAAATTAATCTGGCTTCTGCATGGAGCAAGCTCTAAAAATTGATTTCCATGGTCTTACAGAGAGTTGATGTCAGACACAATTTCTGCTAACTGGGCTCCTGAGACAGTGAAGCCTGTTAAAGATCAATGGCTAGATTTCTTTCCCCACCTCACCCCCACCACTATCTACAAATACCCCACCCACACAATGAGCACCGTGTGCTGCCAGCATTATCAGTTTGGATTTTAATTAATATTTACTCTGAACAAATTGAAAACAGACCACAGGAAAGAAAATAAGCCAAGCTGATTACAACATGTAACTGCTTGTCCTACAGATTCAACATTGACTGAAGGGGTGGGGGAGATTCAGTAAATATGTGTGACTGCTCCCAAAGGAGTAGGTGTGGAATTTGACTCCAAGTGAGAGTTATTCCAGACACATACATGGGAGAAGAAAAAGGAAATAAAAGACATTCCCCAAACCAGCTGTTGCTGATCTATACTTTTGACATTTAAAAACTTCCAAGATTATTTCTGTCTTATACAGTATCTTAAATCCCCAGTGTGATTCACTTTCCATATATGTGATAGACAGAAATTGCATATCATGCAGGGTAAATACAAATATCTGATTCCCAATTTCTATACAGGCCATACATCTCACTGTCCCACGGCTCATATAATTAATTCTGGTGCTGTTTTCTTCTTTGCTTTAGCCCAGGATTTCACTCCTAGAGTAGCTGATAATTACATATTTCCTCTTCAAATCTGACCGTTAAAGCTCACATCTTCTGTGAAGCCCCTGCTTTATCTTCTAGTCTTTGTCCCTAAATTCAATAAATATGAGGCTGCAGTTCTAGGCATAGGGACACTAAATGGCGGGGGGGGGGGAATCATATGGAGCTTAACTTCTAGATGAAAACACACAAAATCAGCTATAAGTATGAACACATTTGTTCATATTCATTTCATGGTAACACAGCACACTGGACAGCCAGTTTGTTATCATGCTCAGTGAAGAGACCTGCTCAGTGAAGAGACCTTACTTAGCCATAAAGCTCATTGGTGTACCAGTGAATAAGAATCCACAACCCTAATTTATTGTATAGAGTTGTTGTGAAAATGCAGAAACACTATATATGTTATCCTGTAAACTAATGGTAGGGAGGGTTAGAACACAATGAACTACCTCAACACAGAATTTTAAAGCCTCATGACACCCACCTTGTGTGGCCTTGGGCAAGCTTCACAGTCCTAGGATGCCCGGTAATAATGGCCAGATCAGTATTAGAAACAAAATACTATTCTAGACCCAGAAAAGCATATCCTTACAGCACTTGTTGACAGTGTTAGCATTACAGCATGTTTCCAAGAGACAATGTTTTAAAATTTTGTAAAACTGAGTATTAGTAGTAGGGGGGAAAGGGGGGGAGACTGTATATGTTTAGCAAACTCTAGCTTGACCCTTGGTAACTAGATGCACAAAACTAAACACTCCTGCAAAATTGCATATACCCAGCAGTGCTCATTATTAAAAAGTACAATACTAAGGTACTCATTAAAGTGTGAAATTACAGCAGCAGCTATAGTTAAAATTTAATATAAAGATAGTCACAAAGGTGAAATCATGACCAGCAGGTAGCCTACAGTAGGAAGCTTTTCTCTTTCTTTCTTTCTTTCTTTCTTTCTTTCTTTCTTTTTTTCTTTCTTTTTTTCTTTCTTTCTTTCTTTCTTTCTTTTTTCCAAGATGGGGAAGGGAAGGGAGGGGGGGAAAGAACTTTCAATAGTGAAGAAAATCCTCATAGTTCATCATTTTAACTAACCTGTCAAACTTGCCATTAAGATGTTGAGAGGTTCCGATTGCTTTGTGCTATATCACCAATTAAGAACACAAGTGGGGAAAAGTGCACATTCTCTGTGCCTCTGAAACAATGTTGGGTTTAGGTTGCCTGCTACCTCTAAGGGCTCACAAAAAAGGCTGAAACAAAAATTGGCAACCACATGCCGGTTACCCCTCTCCCACCATTGTAATGTGCATATTGATGTACTCCCTATAAGCATGAGCCAATAATGTGGATCAGGGTAGAGAAATACACAGTGAAATGGTGTAAGGACACAGGACTCAGTGATGAAGTAGAAAAGCATAGTCCCTGCCATCTCCAGCTAGGGCTGCCAAAGACGCTTCTCTAAAATCTTGGGGAACCATTGCCAAGTCAGTATAAGTCAGACATACGGAACTAGAGGGACAAATGATTTGACTTGGTAAAAGACAGCTTCCTAACTAGCCACAAAGTGTGGGTGGAAAGCTGGTCACTGAACCATCAATTGGTCGACAGCCTCATGTTCTGTGTAAAGTCACATGAAAATCTAAAATTGCAATAGACATGTTAGGCTTCATGTGGCTTGTACCCCTAGTTGATACTTTGTTGTTCTTGTTTAGTCGTTTAGTCATGTCCAACTCTTTGTGACCCCATGGACCAGAGCACGCCAGGCCCTCCTGTCTTCCACTGCCTCCCGGAGTTGGGTCAAATTCATGTTGATAGCTGATAGATACTAAGGATGTGAAAATCTATTAATCTCATTTTTATTCAGTATCTTAAATTCCCACTGTGAATCACTTTCCATTTCTATTTCCATATATGTGACAGATTTTTCCCCCTGTACGGAAACTTGAGCAAGTTCCATTTCCCCAAAGATCTATGCGTTTTGATGATCAGGTACATAATATTTTCATTCAGTGAAATGTGTGTGCTGATGTTTAAAAGGTGTGCATTTCAGTTGTGCACTCCTAGTAAATAGACAGATGTTTGTGTCTTTGTGTGTGTCTTTACATATGGATTTTCCACAGAAAAATGTGTTGTGTTTCATTGGCATTCCCAGGAGGTAAGAAATGGATATTGGAAATGTGATTCCAATAAATTACCTTTAGATGATGATTGAATACTAATGATGGTTTAATCTTGCAGCAAAGAAATACAACATCTTTCGAGCTAAAGATGGTTCAGAAGAGGTAAAGCCAAAAAGAGGTGAAGGATCTCCCCACACTCACATGTCATCATGAAATTATTTTGTCTAGCATTGTTCCACAGATTCACTGGAAGTTATCAGGACACAGCCTCATCTTCTGAAATGAATAAAGAGTCATCATGTGTGTCAACCCAAGCTTGTGCCATCTTGTCTAGCAGCTTTCAACTAAATAAAATATGTTGTTGTTGTTGTTGTTGTTGTTGTTTAGTCATTAAGTCATGTCCGACTCTTCATGCACGCCAGGCCCTCCTGTCTTCCACTGCCTCCCAGAGTTGGGTCAAATTCATGTTGGTAGCTTCAGTGACACTGTCCAACTATCTCATCCTCTGTCGTCCCCTTCTCCTCTTGCCTTGACACTTTCCTAACATCAGGGTCTTTTCCAGGGAGTCTTCTCTTCTCATGAGATGGCCAAAGTATTGGAGCCTCAGCTTCAGGATCTGTCCTTCCAGTGAGCACTCAGGTTTGATTTCTTTTAGAATGGATACGTTTGTTTTCCTTGCAATCCAGGGGACTTTCAAGAGCCTCCTCCAGAACCACAATTCAAAAGCATCAGTTCCTCAGCAGACAGCTTTCTTTATGGTCCATCTCTCACTTCCATACATCACTACAGGAAAAACCATAACTTGGACTATGTGGACCTTTGTTGGCAAGGTGATGCCTCTGCTTTTTAAGATGCTGTCTAGGTTTGTCATCACTTTTCTCCCAAGGAGGAGGCATCTTTTAATTTTGTGGCTGCTGTCACCATCTGCAGTGGTCATGGAGCCCAGGAAAGTAAAATCTGTCACTGCCTCCATATCTTCCCCTTCTATTTGCCAGGAGGGGATGGGTCAAGTGGCCATGATCTTAGTTTTTTTTTATGTTGAGCTTCAGACCAGTTTTTGCACTCTCCTCTTTCACCCTCATTAAGAGGTTCTTTAATTCCTCCTCACTTTCTGTCATCAGAATGGAATCATCTGCATATCTGAGGTTGTTGATATTTCTTCCGCCAATCTTAATTTTGGCTTGAGAAAGGAGCTATTCTAACTTGGACACAATCACAGACAGATAGCAGTCTAAGTGAAAGTGAATTTTTTTTGTCATCTGTATATTTTGGTGAGCCTCCCAGTGCTTTGTGTCATTCTGGAGTAAACGTCTCTAAATAATTTATTTGGAAATGACTGGGCTTATTTAATTTCAGGTAGAATTTTTTTCCCCTGCAAATTCTGATCTGCATGCCTTAAGATCTAGTGAAATATGAAAATATACAGATATGGGTATAGATATTAATTTCCTGATGTTAATGAGCCCTTGTTAGCTACCTGGTGATTCCCCCCAGCTTTTGCATAGTATTTCTATTAAATATTTAAGCTGCTGTTTCCAGATTTCCACATTTTAATGAGTGCCTTGCTATCTTTTCACCTACGCCCACTGATCTGTACTATGCATGGAGTCTGAATGGAAGTGGATGCACTTAGTGCTTCATTTGCCTTGTGTCAAAATAATATCGGTACTAGACACCAGTACATACATCTGTGTTTGCTGTTTTAAAATAATAGTGCTTATATACAATGACTGTATATGCCACAGCATTGCAACACAAAAACAGGGAGAAATAGAAAGTATAGAAAACAGTACAGGAAAAACAGTGAAAAATCCCACTCAGTTTATTTGGAAACCACTTATATAAGTATCTGCAACTAGAAAGTTGCCCATAGAAGATTATTGTGGGAGGGAATAAATCAGCATAATATATATAAAAGAACTGCTGGATAGCTCAGTGGTTTAGGTCTCTGGATGCAGAGCCTGAGGTTTGGAGTTCAATTCCCCGCTGTATCTCCTTGACAGAGGCTGGACTCCTTGATCCATAAGGTCTTTCCCAGCCCTGCTGTTCTAAGAGTATTATTATTATATTACAGATTTACTTGAAGTATGTTGCACTAATGAAAAATATAGATGCCAGTATTTTTTTGGGGGGGGGGCAAGCAAGTTACAATAAAAGAATAATAACTATGTGCCGTCTTATTTATGGCAACCCTTTCCAGAGTTTTCTAAATAGTAAATGCTGAGTAATGATCTATTTTGTCTTCTGGCACTCTGGGGCTGTATAACTTGCCCAAGGCTACCCAAACTGGCTTTTCTCCTGAGACAGACATTGGGAAACTGAACTCCTGATCTCTAGTTCTACAGCCTGATGCCCAAATCGCTGTACTATTAGACAAATTTGACACTACATATTCCTTTTTAATCCACAAATGTCCTCAGGAAGCGATAGATGTGAGGTAATTATTATTAGGTCTGCACAGACGCATGCAACATGCACACACACATGCACACACGCGATGCGCGCGCGCGCGCACACACACACACACACACACACACACACACACACACACAGAGTCTAGTTGATTTAAAGGAATAGTAACATGTTTTAATGTACACTACCTTTCTGTTTTCTCACCTACACTCTCTGCTTCATTTTGTATACACTTTCGCAATAAAAGGATTTGAAAAAAAGCAATTGGAGGTGATGGTTCTGCTTACTGTACATATAACCAATAACAAAGCCAGAAATAGAACTTAAGTATAATTGTATGTCCAGATATTGCACTAAAAGAAATTAAGGTAGCTGTTTCCCAATGCACATAGGTGCAATATGTGCATTAATGTACGGTGTCCACCGCTTCTCTTGTCCAAAATGAACTTCTCCTTCAGATTTCTAATGGGAGTCGCCTATAAATGCACACTTCCTATTATGTACAGTATTCTCTAGACAGAGGCTAATGTCTCGTAGTTAGAATGTTATCTGGACTAATAAAAGTACTCAGAAACCTGCACAAACATCTTTCCCATACTGAAAGTGCAATAATGAGCGAATACAGATTGTTAAACAATACAAAGATATCTCTTACTTGGTTCTGTGCTTTTTATATTTGTTTCTTTTTTGTTTGTTTGTGTGTTTTAGGCTGTATAATCTCAACAGACAAAAGGGAAATGAAAGTGCTGTAAACACTTTGATGTTTAGGGTTTCCAATCTTAACTTGTTTCAGATTTCTGGCCTTGTGGTTTGAAGGCCAGATAGTTAACTTTCAAATAACATTTTAATAAACTTTTTTTTAAAAAAAGAAATACAGCTTTTTGATGTCACACAACACCATTCTTTCCCTCCTTATGGACTGTATGTATGATTGAATGCACAACTGGAGTAGAAGCCAACTTAATGGAGAGATACTTGCTTTACAGGTTTTGTAAAATGAAACACATAGGGAGGTCTGCCCCAAAACAATAGCTGATAAGAGTATGCTGCCTCCTATGTTGGAATTATGAATGGATTGCTTCTGGCCAGGGATGAGTGGGAATAGAATTTCTGTTAGTTTTCAATTACCATTAACAAAAATCCATATTTTTTTCCATATTTAGGAATGGAAAAACTTGAGCTTTCCTTTTAAAGAGAATGTGAGAAGCAAAAACTGTGTTTGATTCATCCAGGCTCAGTGCTTGACTGTTTAATTTGCAAAAATCTGGCCCCGAATCTCTCTGTGTTCAACCACGAAATAGGGTTGTTGTCACCCCTTCTTTTCCAAGAGGCCCACTATCTTTAAATGCTATGTTTTTTGGCAAGTACCCATGAAGGCGTCCATACCAGGTACAGCTATGCCTCACTTGAAGGTTGGAGTTCCTTATCCAAGGGCTGCCGGATGATTTCCACTGTCTCCTGCCCTGCATTGATAATGTTTAGTCAGCATGGAGAGAACACATATTCTCATGCAGATATGTTTTTGGTTTTCCAAAGGAGACCTGGCTCACCTTTGAAGAATGGTTATCAAAATACAGTCCTCCAGGCCATATTAAGCAAGCCAGGTCCGCAATGATGCTTGTGCAAGAGCCACATCCGGAGAATCTGTACTTCTGGCACAGTCACAGAAAAACTGCAGCACAAACCCACTCATTAACTCATTTATACAAAGGCAGCATATACAGAGTCAATACACTGCAATCCTTTGCATATGCAGAGAACCAGTGGAGGGAAAGAAAGGGGTGGGTGGTTGTGTTTTCTTTTGGCCCGCTCTGCTGCAGTCTTTCACCATTCATCATCTCCTGCTGTGTTCTGATACAGAGATGATCATTGGCTTTAGGCCACAATGCAGCAGCATTTGACAACCAAGAAACAATGACAAATAGAAATTTCCAGCAGACTAGAATAATAAAAAATACAATGGCAACACAAAAATTAAATGATGCTGTTTCATGATCATATGGCATTCACATGCATCCCCTTCCCCCAGCACCTAGGGGAATCTACAGCTTTAATTTGTACTGAACAGCATGTGAATTTTGCTAACTCACATCTCAGAAAAAAAGACAAAAGAAATAATTGTAGAGTCTGAAGAAGTCTAATAAAGAAGAAAACTTCCCTTCCCCACATGCATAATTGGAGATGGGCAAGTGATTGGAAGTGAGTTTACCTTGGGACAAAACAAAAGATGAGAAGGTATATCATTCTTCCACAGCACTCTGGATCTCACTTTCTCTAATGTCAGGGCCCCCCATTCATAAGTTCCTCAATACTAGCCCCTACCCACCTTTTTTTTTTTTAAAAAAAAGTACCTGGCGAGCAACAGGGAGAGGAACAGCAGCAGATGGCAAGCATGAAAATGAAATCTATGTGCATACTGATATGGGTGCAATATATATATTCCTCTCTCAAAACCATTGGGACCAGCATGACTATGATGAGTGACTTCTGATTTTGTTCCTTTCTTGCTTTCTCACAGCAGGGATAGATACAGTATCACCACTGAGGCTTCTGACACAACACGGCCTCTGAGGACAAGTTCTCATTTCCCACTAGGAATCTAATAAATGCATACAGTCTTCTTTTACCTGTGTGCACTGTTTTTAAATGGAACGGAATTGAAATGGTAGGAGAATATCAAAAGGACAATCTGTGTGCCTGAAATGGAGGTACATTAGAGATGTCTCAACCCGGCACCCAATAGCACCCATGGATCTTTCTTTATTTTCAACTTCTGCGATTTCACTCTCTCATTTCAGTCATATTTACTTGTCTAAAAGTCAACATATCTCATGCTGGGGACATGATGAGATGCATTAGTTTCAGAGTAGGACTCTTAACTCTCTTTACTCTAAAATCTCTTCTCAAGATTGATAAAGTTGATAGTAGCCATAGAAAGCTGCTGTTCAACCATGGAATAGAGCAAAACTAATACATTCTCCTTTTTAACATGTTTACCTCATATGATCCACAGTACCTACAGAGTGAGGTACTGTGTATGCTTTCCCAAAAATATGTTGTCACCAGTAAAAAACACTCATTTATGAAAGATGTCACCATGTCTGGACTAAATGTTCTATAGGCCCCCTTTAGGTTAGTTGATAACCTGTGACAAACAGGTAGCATTCTTCTTCTCAAATTATTATT